ATTATATTCATCATTATTCAAATTATATATTTAATTTATCTATTTAACTATAGAACAAAAGTAAAATAAAAAGAATTGTTGTTGTTGGAATCTCGTCATTTGGTGGAAGTTTATTTGGTGTATCAGGCAAACCTGTTGATAATGAAACCAGGATAAACCTTACTGCTTTTAACAGAATATTTGGAGTTAAATGTATAATTAATCAATGGTTCAACAAGTTGGAACAGTTTTTAACAGTTGACTTAACCAATGGAAATGTCAAAGGAAGGCTTATAAAGTCCTTTGAAAGAAGTATAATTACTCATTAATATATATTATCAATTATAAGCATCATATCTATAGATAATAATAATAATAATTTTCTTTTAAAAATATAATTTTTTTTAGGTAAAGAAAAAGATAAAATTGCAAGATTGTTATTAAGAACAGACAACATGCCCGTTTATGGATTCAGAGTTCCAGCTTATCCAGTGAAAGAAAAACTTTTGCCTGATAAATGGGTTCAAACTACCCTTGATTCTACTCCCATCAATTCTTCTAATGAATTCTTGTTTGTAGGATGCAAAACAGAACAGCATTGGGGACATATTGTCATTATTAACTATGAACAAAATGTCATTTGTAATGAAGAGTTTAAATTTGATGGTGCACCTCCTAGTGATTATATTAGAAGGTAAATAATAATTAAAATTTTTTTTTAAATTTTTATACAAAATTAATTTTTTTTTTTAAATAGATGGCATAAAATGAAAAGCGTAAAAGATATGCAAACCATTTTATTGTCTTTTATCACTAAACAAACAAAATTAGTCGGTCATTTATTAGGAAAATATTTAGAATTACTAAAAGTGAGTAGAGAGAGATTTATAAATTTATAAATAAACATATATATATTCATATCTGCAATTAATAAATATTCTTTTAAAAAAAAAATAGTATGCACACTCAAATGTTATTGACACATCAGCTTTGTGTCATGGTAGCAATGGATTACATTCAAGATCAGGATTAAATTTTCTTAAATCAATTTTGCATAAATCACCACTAGGAATTGTGAATACTGCAGAGGAGAAAGCCCGTGCCATTCTTGCTCTATATAAATACATACTTGAACGAGGTAGATTTTTATTGATTTAATTTAACAATAAACATTGTTTACTAATATGTATGTGTGTAAATATATCAAATTTAGGCCTTTACGCTAAAAGGCACAAAGAATCATTAACCCATGTTTTAAACATAAGCAATAGATCCACTGCATTCATTGATTATAATGACAAGTATCAATTATATGGTGCCGGTTCAGGTTCTAATGCAAGCCTTGCTTTATGTTCCAATGACGAAGAGGTACTTCTTTCTATTTATTTACAAGTAATAGATACGACATGTGTTAATATAAGCTAATTTGATTTTAGGTTGAAGAACAACTCCTTAAAAAAATTAGAAAACCTAATTTTGTATGGGCACATTTTCGTGATCTTGAAAACATTACCAAGTCCTTCAACTAAAATGTGATAAATCGAACGCAGCCCCAAGAATTCGAAAGATCCTTCTGAAAATGTT